CGTTTCCTGATTGTTTTTAACATTGAGCGTCCCACGTGGGCTTCATCAAGCCCTACCTCCTTTGATTTCTTTTCCTTCCACGACCTTATTCAGCTTTGTTACAGGAATAATAACTTGCACAATTTGGGTTGTCAGATGATTTTTTGAGAATAATGACTTTTGAGCTTCCATCATGAAAAAAACATTCGTTATTCCATCTCTGTGGGAGCCTGGAGGACCTGCAGCAAACAGCAGCTTAAAGCAAAGTCTGCAGGACTGCCTTCCTTTTAATAGGGTTTTTGGTTTGGAGAGGCTGCTCAAATGGAAGAGATTAAAAAATTGAGTATTGTATCTGATATTTCAATTTACCACTGTTTTCAGACTAACTCTGGTTTAACTATACATATATATATATAATCATGACATGTTGTGAAAGATTTCTAGATTGGCTGCTTTATTGGGATCTCTTGGACTTGGACCAACCTATGTCAACTAACGCTGGTTTTTCTGAAGTAGCTATATATACCGATTGTATTACCTGAACAGTGAAATTTTTAACTATGATGAATTAAAAAGGGAAACCTACTTGACTGTCATCCTCTCAATGCACTTCGTTTTACTCAAACCAACAATCAAAGAGAATTGGACTGCTGCTTTTCCTTTCCTCATCCTTGCTATCGTCATTTTTCCTCTACTTCTTTTGTATGTTTGTCACACTCTCTTGTGACCCACTATTTCCAGGGTGCCTTGATAGTCAAAGCTGACTTTGTGCTGTTGAAGCTAGAGAGGTGAGCAGAGCAAGTCTGATTCCCTGCAAGGACTTCTCTATTAACATCCACCCCTTGGCGCTCATATGACCTTATGCAGTTGCGAGCACCGTAAAACCTTACTAAAACTAAACTAAGCTGAAGTGTTAGCGAGCTAAGCCGTCTTTGTATTTTTGTCCCGCCTTAGGTCGTGCAGAGGTCGCGACAGCTGTTGGCCCCTGCCCTCGTGTGACGAGACATGGCTGTCTCCACGCCCTCAGTGTCCCCTCAACGTCGGCCAGTACGTCAATAACCACACAAAAGGTGAGGTCTTTTCTGAGAGTAGCCCGCAATTGTGGATTCCTTCCCCGCACATACACAAAAGGTGACGTCTTTCCTCAGATTACTTTTTTGTAAAATGTTTATTCCTTTCTTGCTCGTTCACTGTGTGAATCGGCAATACCTTACCCAGTGTCATATTAGACTGACAGCTAGCTTCAGAATGTTTTCCTTTTTGTACTTATTTTATTTTATAGAAACTTAACAACACAGAACATTTTAAACTGACAGAACCTGGTTCTGCTTCCTCAGAATACCCTCCTAACGTGGCCTACCAGGAGTTTTCTGTACCTGTCGACTTCCCCGTTCATCTGAGACAATATTTGCCAAATAATCACTACACCTCCATTGCTAACGTCCCTGACGGTGTGGAAAGGTGAGGTCATGGAGAAATGGTACAACTGTTTGTCTTATTTCACCCCTAGACAATCTAGTACTTGTATCCACATAGCAAAATCGTGAGGTGGGGGCTGAAATCTTTTTGTTATGTACAAATTTCACTATGTAGTCCCTATGTCAACTATGTGTTTTAAATATATAAAGAAATCCATGGGTACAGGAATAAATCTGGGACCTGAAAATCTGTTCACTATGCGCATGTTTTGATATGTGATTATGTGCATGCCAGACTGTGCTTTTGTTTCATTCAGGGACTGACGGTACTCTTATAGGGTACTTAAACAATTAGGCTGAAATTATCAGGACTGATACGGTATTTGATATTTTCTCTTGTGTGCTGAGGTTTGTGAGGCATCGTGGTGGATTCAGGCGCTCGTCAAAATAATGAAATCGAAGAAACGGCTTTTTTCCTCCAGTATGGCAATTTTTATAAAATTTTTGTTTTTTGGCTCAGCACCTTTTATATCCATGTAAAAACACATTTCCATGTTTATTTTACTGAAAAACATTGATTAATGACACAAAATATGTAAATTTTCAGTTTCCAAGGACTCTCAAGCTATTGAAGTTACCGAACGTTGGCGGCCATTTTCTCAATAATAATTTTACCTTTTACCTCTGAAACCAGGCTACCCTCACCTCCTTTAATCACAAATATTTCGATTTCTATTCAAGTTAAATGGGTGGGGGGGTTTTTCATAGAAAACAAGGCAAATGAATAAGCTTTCAGATGGTACCAAAAACTCCACATGCCCAAAAATTGGCAAGCGCCAGATTCCACCACATCAGGACACATTTGTGAATGACATGCTTGTGTAGCACAACACAAATCCTTTATTAAGAGTCTTGGAATTTTACTGTAGTACAAAAAAGTGGGAAGACAGGGAATAACATCAAGAGGCTAGACCAGGATAGAAAAAGGTGGAAAGTGTTTGTCCGTGGCCTATACCCTGGTGCAGGGTGAGAAAGTGTTTGTTCGTGGCCTATACACTGGTGCAGGGTGAGAAAGCGTTTGTTCGTGGCCTATACCCTGGTGCAGGGTGAGAAAGTGTTTGTTCATGGCCTATACCCTGGTGCAGGGTGAGAAAGT